ATTAGTACCCCAGAAATACAGTGGGACCACTAGGCTGTTGTAGTGTGCATTTTAAAACCATCTCTGGGCAGTGTCCTCTAGGCTTTGCTCTACTGACTGGAAGTCTCCCTGTTTAAGTGTCTGCAAGCTCAGCTTTGTGTTAGAGGAAATCCCGTTTGCTTCTTGCTCCCTGCTCAGCTGTTGGAATCGTGGAAAGTCAGGCTGGGAGGATCTGCAGGAGTCATCAAGTCCAGCCCCCAGCTCATGGCAGGATTGTCCCTTTCTAAGTCAGGGCTGTCTAACTTCCACTCCCTGTAGGCTGCACCAGCAAGGGCCACACAGGTCACACCAGGGTGAACTACAGGCCTCCACTCCACACTGCACAGATGTCCCCACTGCTCTATTGCACACCCATGTGTCTGCCCCTGGTGCTGCACTGCATACCCGCATGGGCACCCACATCACTGCACTATATATCCACCTCCACCACTGCATTGCACACCTGTGCAGCTGCCCCTGCCACTGAATTTTGGGCCTGTGAATCCCCCCAATGCTGCACCATGTGTGTGCATGGACATCCCCCCCACTGCTGCACTGTGGGCACCCTGCCCCCAGGAGCCTCCTGGTTTTTCAATCCTAACAGAACTGGAATCGGAACTCCCTCCCTTCCCTCTTGAGCCTCACCAGAGCCTCAGGCTGGACATTTTTCAAAAGCACTGCAAGACCTTTCTATTTGGGCTGGCATTTAGTAACCAGAATTGGGTCCAGCTGTTGTTTAGTGGGTCTCTGCTCTGTTATTTTGTTTTATTTACTTTAGTTATCTTTTAAAGTTGTTCTGTTTCCCTTGCTGTAAGCCTCCCTAAGCCTTTGTTGGGAAAAGCAGCATGTAAATCACATACATACATACACGTGTGTGTGTGTGCGCACACACACACACACACACACACACACACACACACACACACACACACACACACACACGTATGCAAAATGAACGACAGGACCAGTACTTCTGCAACCAGTACTTCTGAGGAAGGTGGAATAAGCCCCATGACATTTTTAGCAACAAGAGAAACATTTCTTCTTGGTCCCATGCGGCAAACAAAGCCCAGAAAACCTGGGAAAACCAAACACCCTCCACTCTGCACTGCAACCTGGGGACTGTAAACTGGCTGGAAAATTGGCTCCGGGGTCGGACCCAGAGGGTAGTAATTGATGGAAGTCACTCGTCGTGGTGTCCTGTGACCAGTGGGGTCCCCCAAGGCTCTGTCCTTGGACCCATACTGTTCAACATCTTCATTAATGATGTGGACACTGGAGTCAGAAGCGGACTGGCCAAGTTCGCAGATGACACCAAACTTTGGGGCAAAGCATCCACACCAGAAGACAGGCAGGTGATCCAGGCTGACCTGGACAGGCTCAGCAAGTGGGCGGACGAGAATCTGATGATGTTCAACGCTCCCTGCCTATGCAGGGGGTCAGACTCGATGATCTCAAGCAAATCCCGGGACGTCTCAAGCAAATCCCGGGACGTCTCTCAAGCAAATCCCGGGACGTCATTCTCCCCCTGTACTCGGCCTTAGTGAGGCCGCAGCTGGAGTACTGTGTCCAGTTTTGGGCTCCACAATTCAAAAAGGATGTGGAGAAGCTTGAGAGAGTCCAGAGAAGAGCCACGCGCATGATCAGAGGTCAGGGAAGCAGACCCTACGATGACAGGCTGAGAGCCGTGGGGCTCTTTAGCCTGAAAAAGCGCAGGCTCAGGGGTGATCTGATGGCCACCTACAAGTTTATCAGGGGTGACCACCAGCATCTGGGGGAACGTTTGTTCACCAGAGCGCCCCAAGGGATGACGAGGTCGAATGGTCACAAACTACTTCAAGATCATTTCAGGCTGGGCATAAGGAAGAATTTCTTTACTGTCCGAGCCCCCAAGGTCTGGAACAGCCTGCCACCGGAGGTGGTTCAAGCGCCTTCATTGAACACCTTCAAGATGAAACTGGATGCTTATCTTGCTGGGATCCTATGACCCCAGCTGACTTCCTGCCCTTTGGGCAGGGGGCTGGACTCGATGATCTTCCGAGGTCCCTTCCAGTCCTGATGTCTATGAAATCTATGAAACACAACTCCATGTGACCCACCCTCAATGGAAAGCCAGAATTCCCCTCCATAAACTTATCCCAGCTCCTTTAATCCATCAGAGCCAAGCCAGTTGTAGAGTCCTGCTTAATTCTCCGGTTTCTGCCTCCTCTGGACTGTGGAGCATTTCTCCTGATCTCCAAGCAAGGCATATCTGGGGTCTCCTGAGTTTCCAGTTGTTGCTCTTCACAGCACACTCCAGGAGTGCTTTTTTGGATCTGGATGAATTCAAGTTACCAGGGTAGCTGAACTTCATTCTAGGGTACTAAAGGAATTGGCAGAGGAAATCTCTGAGCCTTGGCAGTGATCTTCATGCAGTCCTGGGAGATGGGCCAGATTACTAGAGGACTGGAAAAGGGCCATCATGGTGCCCCTCTCTAAAAAAAAAAAAAAAAAAAATAGAAAAAGAAAAAAGAGGCAAGGAGGAGGACCTGGGGAACTACAGACTAGTTAACCTCACCTCAATACCTGGGAAATTACTGGAGCAGATCCTAAGGAAGCATCTGTAGGAGGAAAGGCTGATCACAAACAGCCAGCATGGATTTATGAAAAACAAATCATGTCAGACAAACCCGATCTCCTTCTTGGACAAAGGAGCTGCTTGGGTGGATGAAGGGCATGCTGTGGATATCTTGCATCTGGACTTCAGCCAAGCTTTTGACAAGGTCCCGCATGACCTTCTCACAAACAAACTGGAGAAATGTGGGCTGGACAAAACTACTACAAGGTTCATAGATAATTGGCTCAATAGCTGCAAGCAAAGGGTAATTATTAATGGTCCATGCCAGAATGGTAGGAGGTTTCAAGTGGAGTCCCACAGGGGTCTGTCCTTGGCCTGGTGCCATTCAACGTGTCTATTAACGATTTGGATCCTGGAATAGGAAACTTCTTGAGCAAGCTTGTGGGTGACACAAAACTGGGAAGGATTGTGAACACGTTGGAGGATGTGAGCGCAATTCAGACGGATCTTGACACATTGGAAAGTTGGGCTGGAGCTAACAGGAAGTTCAGTGTGGACAAATGCAAGGTGCTGCATTGTGGCAAGAATAAGCAAAAACACAAATACAAAATGGGGGACACCTGGATGGATGGCAGCTCTGTGGAAAAGGACTTGGGAGTCTTGGTAGATCACAGACTGAATAGGAATTTGCAGTATGACGCAGCCCTATCCAAACCATCCTATACAATCCATAATCTAAACTCTACATAAGACAACCCTCAACTCCGGCCAACACAGACCTAACACCCTAACCTACCACGGGTAAAGCAGGGGAGCCATGGCAGCCAACGTCCTGCTTCTATGAAATGTTGACAATATATGCTTAAGATATGTCAGGTAGACGCCAGGCCTCTGCTACGGAAGGTATAACCTCCCACAGTCCACACCAGTCTGACCATGGGGTACAATTCCTTCACCTAGATCCTCCCCAACCAGTGGGGAATTGGGAACGGTCAGGGGGTTGATCCTGCCCCTGGAGGTCCCTGCCAGCCGTACTTCTTTATGATTCCATGAGGCTGTATCATTCCCTATGGATTGCTACTCCAGTCTCTTCTTGAAAGCCTCCAATGATGGAGATTACATGCTTCCCCAGATAGTCTGTTCCACTGCTGACTTGCTGTGTGAGCTTGGATCCATCACTTCTTGCTTTAGTTTCCCATCTGTAAAATAGTGATGGTGATATTTATTCATTGGTGCAAAGTGCTGTGAGCATGCACTACTTAAATGCTAGGTGGTATTATTATTATTATTATTATTATTATTATTATTATGCTTCTGGAGAGAGTCTGCAGAAAGCTTAGTGGAGATCAGGTGATTCTGCATCATAGCTAAGCCTCAGAAAGAAGCAGCAGGAGGAAGAGAATACAACTCAGTAGGTGGAGTACCTTCCTTGGCTTGAAAATGCTACTGCTTCTCCTTATTAATTTTATGATTTCTCTTTGTTGTAAACAGCCTTGAGCCTTTTCTGAAGAGGGTGGTGTAGAAAAGAAATAAATCCTAGAAAAGTAGGGCTGGAAGGGATCTCATGACATCATCTAGCCCAGCCCCCTGCTCAAGGCAGGACCATTTCTGTTCAAAGCATCCCAAAATAATGCATATACAATCTCTGTGCTGCACCTTGTGCAGAACAACAGCATTTGGGCCCTGTCTCTTGGAATTCATCCTCAGTGAAGGAGCAGAATAACACCACAAACTGTGCTAGGAACCAGAGGAAAACTAAAGGCACAATTCCCATTTGTATATGTTGCTAGCTGCAAGCGTGTGGTGGTACAGCTCGCCTCTATGGGTAGAGTGCTGTGCTGTGTCAGAAGTGAATTTTAGGATGGGGATTGGGTGATTAGATGGAGGATGCCTAGTGTGGTGATGTTAGGAGTGTTTTTCAGGGATAGAGGAAAGAAAAAAGGCAAGTGATAGAGTTGGAAAAGGATGAGGGAGGAGCGTTCCCAGTGAGGCTGAAAATCTAAAATGCAGCCAAGGGGGATTGTGTTGGCCCTTCCAGGCAGGTAAGAAGCTTGAATTGGAGATGGAGGTTGAAGGAAAGTCAGTAGAGAGCTGTGAGAGCAGGTAAGTGCCCGCGTGTGCATGTTCCCTTGGTGGGGTTTTGTGCTGTGTGTAAGTGGTTCATTGGCATACAGAAAGCTGCGGTCTAGTGGGACGGACAGGAGTGCTCTCGGATGACTCAGGCAGCCTTTCACTGAAGGCTGTAGCCCTGCTTCTGTCTCAGAGCCCTGCTCTAGAGGGATGAGAGATCCTTGAAGCTAGCAGCCGGTTCTGGAGCGAGTGAAATGAGAGTGATTACAACTGATGGCAGAACAGCCTTTTGCAGGAGGGAAAGATTAGATCACATTTAAAAAACCCCCACAAATGCACTCAGATCTGTGGCTAATGCTAGCAACCGTGTTACCCCTGGGATGGTGACCGTTCTCCCTTTAATTGAAGGAAAACCTCTCCAGAGGGACGTGGGCATGTTTGTTCTGGAGACTTTTGTCCATCTTCACAGTACTGCTATTCTGAGTTTTGAATTCATTGTATAGCCCCCAGGAGCACTGCTATAATCTTACTTGCCCACAGGGCAGGGCCTGCTGCCAGGCCTAATGAGGCCCTGTGCTGGGAAATGCCATGCTGACGAGCAGGGGATCAAGCAGGATGCCATGTCTGAATAGTTCTGGAGGGCCATGGAGGGAGGGTAATCTCACCACCAACACTGTGCTGCCTGTCCCAGCCAGGAAGGATGTTTCCTGTCCTCTGCTCTGTGCTGCTGTTAGATAAATCTTCAGTCTAATTGCATTAAATATGCAAACAGCAATCTATTTTTCAGTTTTCTTCATAAGGTTGTGGTATCCTGGCAACAAAGTCTAAGGAAGGTGCTGCTAGCTTTCCTCTCACTTCCCTTTTCTTACTATTTAGAGGCCTTTTTGCTATTATAAAATGTAGAACAGTATTTTGAAGCTGTCATTAATTTGCTCAGTGCAACGTCTGTTGTGTAAGCTATGAACTCTCTGACAGACGATGACATTTTTAATGTAGAAGGACATTTCTGACCCATTTCCCTACTTAAGAACAACGTTTTCCTTAGGAGCAGTAGTTAGAGAGCCCTTGTTTAAAGGCCATCACTCACTCATGCCTACTCCAATACCCATTTCACAAGTGGAAGAACTGTACTGCTTAACGTTTAATCTTGGGTAAAAAATCTGCTGTTTATGAGATTGGTACATGCATCTTTTAGGACAGGATCCATTTATCAAAGTTCTTCCTTTTGTTAAAGCATGAAAGAACCTGTTTCACAATCACATCCTGTCAGCATATCAAAATTAAATGTCACTTACCTGTCAGTAAGGCGTTTTCTGCCTGGGAAATGGTTGTGCACTTGGCAACTTCCTGAGGATTATCCACTTGAGATTTCTGCTCTGAACTTTGAAACAGCTACAGACAACCGGGTTCCCAAAAAATCCACCCTGCATTATGCTGAAAAAGACTTCAGGAGTTTAGTCTATGTATTACAAATATTCATGTAGCTCCACATGACCTGTAAACCACATAGTTTATGTTCCTTCATACTAAGTTCTGGTGCCTTGATTTAGGGCTCTTGTGTGAACCAAAGGCGAAGCTTTCCCTTTCAGTTTCATCAGCTAGCTTTAATGAAATGAGTAATTATAGGCAGTGCTGTCTCTCCTCTAGGAGATTTCTCCAAAGACCCAACTGACACATTGCTGCTCCTTTATGAGTTTGAAGCAAGAGCCAAACTGAATGATCCAGCCCTGGAGAGCCTTCTGGAATCTGTGTGGGACCTGCCGCAAGTAGAGAGCAAGACGCTGGAAACCATTGCTTGTAAGGGCCGTGCTTGTTCTTTCACAATTCTTAGAGTCATTTTAAAGAATTTGGTCGTGGTTGTGTTTTATGTTTTCATTTGTAGTGGGTAGGATCTCTTGTGCTCCACATTTGGAAAATCTGAGTAAAATCTGGATGTAACTTGTCTTGGGTGGGGAGGTAGTTGGGGACTCAGGAGTAGCCAGAAATCTTTGTATTTGGATATGTCAGGATTGAGTGCCGTACATGGGGGTGACACTGTCCTTAGGGACTCCTTTTATCTCAGGAACCTGAGACCTTTCCCTAGATTATAAGGTAAGAAGGGGACATTAGGGCCTAACACAGGCCAGAAGATGTTTCCTAGCGATTCCTGCATCCAGTCAAACAATTTGTGGTTGAGTTAGCGCAAACCCTTAAGACAGACATCCAGCCTCGTGAAGATTAAAGTTGTGGAGCAGCTGATGAATGAACTTTCTGTAGTTCACCATGGCATCACCAGAAGCCTCCAGCCACTGCTTCTCTAGACTGAGCATCTGGAATGAGCTGTGAGGAAGGTGAAAGAAATTTAGAGCCACAATGATAAATCACTGGTCTGGATGCAGCAAGGTGGTCATGCCAGCACTTCATACCCGGGCATCTGGACTTGGAGAACCAAGCTCCAGTCCCCTTTGCATAACTTAGGGCAGTGCTTTGACCCCAGGTCTCTTCCCTGCTAGCAGAGTGCTCAAGGAGCTGCTTCATGGGCATTCCCAGGTGGGACTTTTGGAATCCCCCTGCTGAAGCTGTTCATTGTAACAGGGACTGGAACGTGCATCTCCCAGGTGTGTGCGCCAGCCAGCAGGCCACAGAGTCGGCCTGACTGAGTGTTGATACGAAGGACAGCAGCTTCAGAAAAGAGGCTGAGGAAGGCTTGCCTTAGAATACCCTGTAACCAGTGGTCGGGATGCTCTTGGAGATGGGAAACCTTTGGAGGAGGCAGAGGAAGGATGTGAAACTCAGTTTCCCATAGCTCAGGCAGATGTCCCAATCCCAGCTGCTTTATGGGGGCATCGCCTTTTCATTTTTTTCTTGTTAGAAAGAGAGTACTATCCTGGGATGGTTAGTGTGTACCTTTGGAGCAAGGCTCATGGCTGATGATGCCAAGTGGAGATGGGCACCTCCCTCCAGCCTCAACTTAGGGGCCTAACTCTTAAGGGGCCTGGCTTTGGGCACCTAAATGTTGTTCCCCTTGTGAATCTGGTCCTGTGCTGTCCTGAGTTGTCAAATACATGCAACAAAAGCAACAGAGAGTTGATCTTATTTGTTGGACCCTCTGATATTTTGTGTGTGGCTGCAGAAGCAGATTGTCGTGGGAGCACTCATTAATTATTTAACCTGTTTTCTTAAGCTCTGCAACCATCATTGATCTTGCTTATGACCAGAATTCGGTAAAACCATCTGTCTTGTGCCCTGCACCTGCAATCATCAGCACAGATCAGGCCTCTGGGACGGGAACAGTTTCCATGTTGCTTCATTTATCGAAAGGGAGGCTATTGTAGCTTTGCAGTGGCTTGTGACGGAGGTCTGGCTTTGGTGATTTCTCTACTTTTCTGTATCCTTTTGTTTTCCAAGCTTTAGCAATGGAGCCGCCAGCTCATTATCCTTCCGTGTGCAAGAAGGCCCTCAAGAACGCGCTGACCATATATAAGAAACAAGAAGCTGTGGATGGTGTGAGAATCAGGTGAGTGGTCACAGGAATTGCTGTGTCTGCTCGAGGCTGGGAATGTGCTGAGCAGCCGGCCATTGCTTATCTTGGATGCGCGTCAGACCATATTCACAAGGGTCTGGCAGGAAGTAAGACAGATGGGACTCAGTCATCGTAACTGCATGTTAGATCCCTTTCCCTGGTCTCTCTACTTTTAGTCTTGTAAGGTTGGGACCTGTTTTTACTATGCCTGTGAGGTACCTGGCACTGCCTTCAGTACTGGATTAGGAACAACAAGCACAGTGATTGTCTCTTTGCTTATTCTGACTTCAGAGCAGGTGTTTGCATTACCAAGGGGTTCAGGCTTAGGCCCTCGGCACACCTTCTGCTGGCAGAGCTAGCTCTGGTGATCAGCAGGTAGGTTAGCTTAATGAGTTGCCACAGTCAAGTGATGGTGTTCTCACTTTTGCTGCATTCACCGTACGTGTTGAAGGTGCATCTCATAGCTCTTGGTGCTTTGGGAATGTGCACTGCTGCTTATTTATGTCCCAGTGAATTGTGGGAGAACGTCTGTAATTTGGGACACATGGGGATTATAGGAAATACTGACGATTGAGTGATTAAGCCTGTGTGTTCAGTGGGTAGGTTGCACTCAGCACTGTGATGCTACCTGGGGAGGTCTGGTTCCTGTGCTGCAGACCTACAGCAGGCAGAGAGGGAATCTCCCATTTAGCTTTGTCTAGGTTGGGATCTAGTCTTATAAGAAAATATGGTAACTATGGTAATAGGCTGAAGTCTCTTAACATGTTGCTAAATGCCATTTGACTGGTAGCCTAGGTGAAGGCAGCTGGTTGTGATTAGCCCAAGAGGCTCTTGGAAGGGGACTGGCAAGTGGCTGGTTCCATTCAGACCTATCGGTGGTTCCTTAGTTGTTGGAAAGATGATGCCTGCCCCTCCGTGTTAGATCATGCAATTCAGGATGATACGCTTCGGACTAAAGATATTCCAGATTTCAAGAAAAAAAAAAAGAAATGAAAAAAGCTGTGGACCTTGGCAGGAAGAGGACAGGCTGTGCTGAATTTGTAAAGGTTTTTTATGCCTTACTCTCACTGAAATCACAAGTACATTTGAGGCAAGATGTAAGCCAGGAGCTTCTGGTTGGTGGCAGGGCAACAATGAAATGCTTGAGGTAGTTGCAGTTTTGGCCACTTCAGCTCAAGAGGAGCAGAGTTTGCACCCATTTTATAAATCAGTCAATTACCATAGAAAATATCTTAACTCCATGTCACTGAATTGTCTGCCACTACAAAACAGTCAGGGCCCAAAATTTGCTACTGCAGACGGATAATGCAATAGCAGCAAGTATCACTGTGGTCGTTAAAGTCTGTTTAGGTAACTCGCTTCCTAACATGACTGACATTCGCAGTGGAGATTAAGCCTTTGATGAGGAATATTGGGTACAAATAGGAACAAGTTACCACTCTGGCTTTATCCTATGATGAGACTGCTTTCCAGAGGTCACTCTGCAGCACGTGAGCTGTGGAAAAAAATCTGAGCTTGGAGGAAGGCTTCATGTGCTGGGAGTTAGTTGTCATACCACTTTGCATCAAGAATCCAGAGCCACCCACCCTGCATGGAAACACGTGCCTGACTTGCAACAGAGTCTGTCCATCCCAGATTGGCATTGTCAGCGATCTTCCGACCCACAGATAAGACAATCGTGGAAAGCAATCATCCTTGACTGTGAGGGATTGCCAAAAGAAGACCCCACACATGCATGGCATGGTGCTGCTGAGCCCCTGGCTCCATAGATTCATAGATGTTAGGGTCGGAAGGGACCTCAATAGATCATCGAGTCCGACCCCCTGCATAGGCAGGAAAGAGGGCTGGGTCTAGATGACCCCAGCTAGATGCTTATCCAACCTCCTCTTGAAGACAAGTAGTAGCTGCTGCATATGAAATCTGAAATACCTCCTGGTATACGTGCCCTGCACGTGTCCCTGTAAGTGGAATCCCCATCCTGAACTGCCTGGCAGTGCTCTGAGTTGCTCGCTGCCAATCTCCAGGTTGAGTTACCATCAAGAAGCTGCCTTTTCCCTTCTCACTGAGGAGGAAAAACAGCTTCACCGTGCACGGGTGCTGCTGTTTTCCTTCATTTTAAAGGACAGCAAGACAGGCAGGACCCTATATGGTTATTCCCCTGTGGCAGGCTGGAGTAGCTCTTCCCTTGCTTTCAGTTGTGGCATCGCCTAAAAATACATTATTTACTTAGCTGTATTACCCTGGAGCCTCAAAAACTAGTCGTAGACCAGTAGTTGCTCCCTCTGATGTGCCCCCACCCACCCCACATAGGCAGCAGAGATGAGATCAGACACCGGAGAATCTCTTTTTGCTTTCAGGATTGGGTAGGGTGGAGCGCAGACGCCAGATTGGTAACCATAGAGATGGCTTGTAGTGTTGCTGATGTCAAAACTCAGCTATTTGTTCTGTTCATGGTTGCTTTACAGATCAATCAAAGATGTGTTTTTCATATGGCACTGAATACGTTTCCTCTTTTGGTCTGCTTTTATTCCCAGCAAATGTTTGCACAGTTTGATTCACCTTTCTCTGCCATCTGGAGTGATAGATGCAGATGCTTGTGTACTGGAAGAGGCATGGGGTTACTTTGAAGACGCGCTGAGCACTGTAAGCAGCACAGTAAGTTGAACAGAAAAACAAGAGATTGGGCATGATCTTGAGTGCCCTTAAAAATCCTCACCAGAATGAGAGCAGTTATCAGACTCACCTGAGAGCACTGTGGCTCTGATGCAGGTCAGACATTTTTGCAGATGGATGCTGTGTGAGTACCTCAAAGCCACCAGCTTTTTAGATGGCTGTGAATTTCCTATGTGCTTGTCAAGGGGCTTCTTGGACTCCTAAGGCCAAATTTTCAGGGCTTTAGACATTTCCAGAGCCAGAGTATTCCTCTCCTGTGCTCAAAGCACCATCTGCCTTTGCAGATGCAGCTTGTCATGCCAGATCAGTTTGAAGCTGGGTGAAATTTCGCTTTCAGTGTTGCTTTTGAGTCAGCTCTGTTTGTTAAATTTCTTTGTGTGTTTATTAAATTACTGTATTTTTAAATGACCTGGAACTAGGTCTCCCTGTTGTCTATCCTTGCTGCACTGCCTTTAGTCTTTTGTGTCGTGTTTCCATGGGGACTGGTCTACTGGAGAGTGAAGTCTTTCTTTAGCTCAGGCCTTGTCAGCCCCCCCGTCTGTCCTTTCCCAGCAGACCTGAAGTATTTCTTGGACAGGGCAGACAGTTGAAACTGAGGAACTGACTCAGGATTTGTCCTTACAGTTCCATGAGTGAAAACAAATTGCACAATATTCTCCTTGTTCAGCATCAGTGAAGCCAGCACCATGTTTCACAGTGTCCTCCAAAGCTGGAAAATCCCTTAGTCAGGAGTGAAATTTTCTTTTTTTCTGCAAAGGATTTGAAGCATGCAGCCTCACCCCTGCCAGCCCCCGCCAAATACCCTACTGCGTATTCAGTGCAGGTACATTGCAGGTCTCTTGTCAAGTCCTTCTCCCAGGGTGTGCGCTAGCAGTGCACAAATAAAGCCTTCTGCCTTCGTGCTGGCAGCCAGCAGCTTGGATGTGGTGTGGATGAGCGGTGAGCTATGGGGCAAGCATGGGGCATTCTGGCATTTGGCTGTCCAAGGGAAGGGAGCTCAGGTAACTGCTTCAGGCAGGCTTGTAGTGAAAGCTCTCCTAATTCTCCTCCTTGCTTCTTTCTCTCGTTTCTTCAGGACAATTACCCTGAGGTGGAGACCCTTTGGCTGATGACCAGAGCCTGGAATACAGGGATATTTCAGTACAGCAGTGGTAAATACAAGGAAGCCGAGCAGTGGTGTGGGCTGGGAATGCGCTTCCTCCATCACTTGGGATCCCTGAAGAGCAGCTATGAGAGCAATGTAAGTGAGTGCAAGCGTAAGGCAGAGCTGAGCTGCAGAAGGACAAGGGTGTTGTGGAAAGAGCTATTCCAAAAGGACTGGACAAGCTGAAGGAGGCAGAGGCCCAGATTCTCAAGAGCATTTAGGCACCTAACTTCCACAGAGTATAATGGATAGATGAGGCACCTAAATACTTTTGCAGGTCTGGGTCTCGCTGCTTAACAGCAAGGGCTTTATGTATGTAAGCCTGGCAGTATGATTCAGAGTGGCTGTCCCAGCTCTCAAACCCAAGGGGAGGTGGAGCAGTGATGGATGGGGGGTTTAGGCAGAAAGAAGAGCTGGAAGTCCTGGTCATCCTGTGCAGATGGCCACTTAGTGGTTGTGTTGGGCTTGGCTGTCTCTGAAGAAGCGTTGGTCTCTGCACACCTCTTGTCCAAGGCAGCCAGCCTGCAGCAGCCTGCCTGCTTGGCCATGCCTCAGGGTCCCACCCTGGTCATGCCGTGGAGGCTGTGCTGTGGCTGCCTGCTCAGGTGATGCTCTGCAGGCACACCACCACGTCCGTGAGGACAGCTGCCCTCTGCTTTGGCACAGGCAGTTTGTGTGGCCATGCGTTATCCTCAGCATGAGGAGTCTTGCACTTCTCTGGCAGGCCAGAAACTGATCTGGGGAGGGAGTTTGGGCAAAGAAGATGCATGAAAATGCCTTCTCTGGCAGTGTGCTACAGGATGGCAGTGTCCCTTCTGGTCCCACAATACAGGTCCCTGAAGGACACAGTTTGAGCTTGACACAACAGCCCTTTCCCCCAACCGCTGCCTGCCAGCTGAGACTGGGAGCCTGCTTCCCAAAGCCTTTCCAGTTCTAAGAAAATTGCCCGTCACCTATCTGAGCATCTCAGCCTGCTAACGAGTGCTTTCTAGCCATAGCAGGGCAGCTGTGAGAAATACTGCTCACTTCCTACCCTCACACTCATGAGAGGCACCGCATCTCTACCTGGAAGTGATGGGTGGGGAGGCTGTTCTGCACTGAGTGCAGACACTGAACAGTTAAGAGGAAAGCATAGGGCTCTTTGAAACACAGAATTGGCATGTTTTGCTTAAGGTGCAATGTCACGTTGCTTTAATTAAGCCAGTGTGACTGTAGTCAAGGGATGCTCAGTCCTGACTGCCTCAGGAGCTGCATGAGCAAGCACTCAGCGATAACCAAGCACCACTGCTGCAGCCTGTGCAGCCTCTGTGGATCATGGCAAACACAGTCCAGTTCAAGAGGAAAAGCCACAGTGCAGAGCTGTGCTGCATTTTCATGACGCAGGAAGGACATGCCCAAGGCTCTCAGTTAGAAACCCTCAACCCTTTAATAATTGTGGCTTAGGAAGGGCAGTGTGAGCACTGCTGGTGCAGGCACTCTTACACTGGCTTAAATCTGGCTGCTAACAGCAAGTGACAGACGTGACTAAGATCATTTCAAACAACCCACGCCTAGTGAAACCAGTACAGCTGCCAGACAGAGACCAGGCCTGCTTCTGCCATGCCGGCATCTCTGCACAGAGGAACATGGCTGTTCTTTGCCCTTCACATGTGACCAACCTCTTCTGGGCTGCTCGCTATGCTTCTGCTCGGGCCTGACACCCATGGAGCTGCCTGTCCCTGCTGCAGCAGGATCTGTTCTAGTTGGTACATACAGTCAGACGTTATGTGCAGCTCCACAGTGGCTTCAGGCAGGGGCTGGTTGATTTAGGGACTGGGAGTTACACCAGTGAGGCCCTCCAGAGCGGATGCACCTGTGAGCTATGGGGAAAGAAGCACCTTGTCTCCGCACAGATGCACTGACACAAGTGGGTGCAGCATCAGAGTGACTGTCTCTAAAGCAGCAGGCTTTAATTGTCACAGACTGCATAAAGCAGCATGGATTTCCAATCTGGAACAGGCTGTAGTTTCCCCGCTCCTCGCACAACTCTTCTTTCCTGAGTGCCTGAGCTTCTTGCTTCTTTCTGTGCTCAGAGGTCTGTTGATGGTTGTGTCTTCCAGATGGTCAGTCTCTACAGCGAGGTGCTGGATAAGTTGGACAGAGTGAAGGGGTTTCTTCCAAATGAAGAATGATGCCCACCACAACCCTGGCAGATAAGGACACCAGCATTATCAGAAGAGTCTCCTGGGTAGCGGCTGCCAGCTCTGTGATGCCACGTGAGTTCTGGGCACAAGATCGAGGCCTTTCCACTGGCTGTTTCTAAGTTGTGTATGGTTTTGGGGCATGTCTGCTGGAGAAATGCAGTGGTTTTTCTCCACCACTCATGCACCTTTTTGGAGCCGCTGAGTAAGAGGAAGCAGACGCATGCATTCCTTATGAGGTGGGGTTGCTGTTTTAGAGAAGAGGGGTAGTTCAAACGTTTGATTTCCATAGGAGGTGACACTGTGAGCAATAAAAGAGTTCTAAGACCATACATGTCCACTGGCCGCTGCCGTTGTCTTTGTATAAATGCTTGCTGGATTGTTTAGTTTTTCAGTCCATTTCAGTGCGGTGAGGAATGCTGGCCCTCTGCCAAGATAGCCACGATCAATCACTTCGTTCCAGGAGAGAACAGGTGCTCCTTCTCTCCGCACAAGCAGCTGAAGTGCCAGTGAGTGCTGCTATGGGGGCACTGAATGTAACGTGCTGAAGTAGTCACTGCTTGCAGCACTGAAGCCCAGACAGGCCTAGATAGAAACACAAGTGGGGAGATTCAGCCTGCAGCCGAATGGAGCAGTTGAACAGGTGGCAGCCGGCTGCTGAGAGCTGCTGGGAACAGGCTGGTGCCTCAGCAGTGGTGACAGTTTTGTAGCTGCAGCGCCCGGTGCTTGTGCACAGTGCTGGACTTGGCTTTGTCCCGAGGCAAAAACCAAGTGACCCTGTGCACACCCTGCAGAGAGGGGAGCAGTAGCAGGACAGGAGTAGGGACAGGGCTCTTCTGTTTTTCAACTCGGGAACGCAGGACCTGTTTCTTTAAAGCACAGCACTCAGACAGGAGACAAGCCATGTGGCTCTCTCCCTGGCCCCGCACAGGTCCCTCGGCTGGCTTCAAGAGGGTGCCTAACCTGTGACCTGGTGATTTGTGCAGAGGCTGAAGAAAGCATGATGCAGGTTTGGAGCTGTCTTTGGGCTCTTTGCAACCCACTTCCAGTGTGCTGCTGTCATCTTAGTGCCCGAAATGTTGTTCTGCATTGCACAGGCCAGCCCAGGTGCAGTTGCAGCCCTTTGCCATGTCATTCACACGTGCCTGCCCTCTAGGACAGCGTTTGCAAACATGTCTTGGCATATGAAAGTCTGGATTTCAGTGCTGTGCAGCCAGTGGGTTAAACAGGCAGACAGCATCTGCCCGAGTCTCAGCTGCCTCTGCATTTACAGTGATTATTCCCCCAACCCAGCTATGCTATTATGTGCACCTAAGCACTGGAGCTGTGGTTGAGCCATGGTCACTTTTCTGCTTTCTGCAGCCTGTGTTCAAGCAGCTTTAACAGCCTGCAAGTGCCTGAGGACTGTGGTGTGCCAGACTGACCGGAGGGTGGGGAGTGGCAGGGAGCAGAGTGCTTGGAGCTATGCTTTCTTGAGATGATCCTGGCCTGCAGGAGTGAGGGCATGGATGGTGGCTGGCAGCTGCTTTTCTTGCGCAAGCAGTGCAAGGGAGTGCACTAATATAAAAAAATGCCAACAAAAAGGAAAAGCAGGGAGCAGGGACTAGTGTTTTGGCTGTGTACCAGAGCGGCCTATGCAGCAGCGTGTGCTGGTGGCAGGGAGCAATGCAGTGTGGGATGCTTGGAGGAGACATCCTGCCTGTGCCACAGAGCGTTTAGCACTGACCTGGCTCAAGACATGGTCCTTGCTGTTCCAGGCATGCTTTCGTCCCAGTTGAAGAGGCCTGTATGGGGCTGCTTTGTGGCTAAACTGCACATCAGAGTTGAACCGTTGCCTAACATCGCTGGGACCCGGTGTGCAACGATGTTGGGGGGCAGTGCTAGCACCCAGCCTTTAGGAAGGGGTTTCTGGGGGAGGGGGAAGCACTTTCTGATTTCCCTTTTCTCAGGAAATGTCAATCACCTGCAGCGGCTGAACCTCTGCAGGGTGCTTCACTGAGTTGAGAGGGGTCGGGGGGGCTTCGAACAGGCTTTCTGGAGGGAAGGTGAGGGGCTGCGGGCTGCGTGGGGATGGGGGGTGGGGGAAGCAAAGGTGCAGCTGGTTGTTAGATGTGTCTATTGGACATACAGAATCAGAGTCATAGACAGCGACGGTGGAAGGGAGCTCGGGAGGTCACGTCCTGTCCAACCCCCTGCTCACAGCAGGGCCAGCCCCGACTACAGCATCCCAGCCAGGGCTTTGTCTACCCGAGTCTTCAACACCTCCAAGGATGGAGGCCCCACCACCAATCTAGGTAACCCATTCCAGTGTTTTCCTACCCTCCTAATGAGAGAGGTTTTCCTAATATCCAACCTCAACTTCCCTTGCTGCACCTGGAGACCTCTGCCCCTTGTCCTGCCATCTGCCCCCACTGAGAACAGTCCAGCCCCATCCTCTTTGCAGTCCCCCTGCAGGGAGGTGAAGGCTGCTATTCAATCCCCCTCGGTCTTCTCTTCTCCAGACTAAATCGGCCCATTTCCCTCAGCCTCTCCTCACCAGTCCTGTCCCCCAGCCCCACAGCCATTTTCATTGCCCTCCGCTAGACTCTCTCCAATGTGTCCACGTCCTTTCTGTAGTGGGGGGTGCACAGCTGGACACAGGACTCCAGATGTGGCCTCCCCAGTGCTGAATAGAGGGGGAAAAATCGCTGCCCTTGATCCGCTGGCAATGCTCCTCCCAACAGGCAACATGGGCACACTGCTGGCTCCTGTCCAGCTTCTTGTCCCCTGTCACTCCAGGTCCAAGGGTGTGCTGACACGAGGTGCCAACAGGAGGGTGGAGGAATAGTAGAGTTCTGGCTCCATAGCAGAGTGGCCAGTCGCAGCAGTGGGGGGCAATGCAGAATGGGACACGTGGAGGATGCTTGGAGGACCAAGCAGCCCTGCGTTACAGGTTACAGATGCATACCCTTGCAGCATTGGCCAGGGCAGGGCCCTACGGGCCAGAGGAGGGAAATGTTTTACCCCCC